CACACAAATACACACAAAGACAATAATGTATTTTAGAATTATACTTTGCCTATAGAAGTAAAGAAAATAGAAAATATAGAAAGAAAATAAAATAAGAAAAAAAAAATTTACAATTGTAATTTATAAAGAATAATTACATATTTGGGAAAACTTCGTAGAAGAATGCCGACTAACGCGATGAGCCAAAGAATACCCTCGGCTTCTTTATTGCTCTTGCATTTTTTCAAACACTTTTTATGTGAATGACTTTGATTTAATATTTGATGTATAGATTGAAACTTGTATGTAATACTTTTTAGAGTCTTAATTTACCTCTCCGATAATAATTTATTAGGAAAATATGACTCATATTAGTACTTGTACTATTGTAAATTTCCTTGAAATGTTATAACTAATTTCGAAAAAATATATATTTGATTTGACGTCAAAATTGATCGAGAAATTAAGACTTCGAAGTTCTCATTCCATGGAAATTTAGTTTACTACTACACTTTCTCTATTTTATCTATTACTTTGCCCCTGTGTAAATTAAAATGATTTTCACGATTATAATTAGCATCAAAAACTACTAAGTCTATTTTTTATATTTTTATATTTTCAGTTTAGAAAAACCAAGTTTATTAACTACTTGCGCAAATTATTATTTTAATAATTTGCGCAAGTAGTTAATAAACTACTTGCGGAAATTATTATTTTAATAATAATTTGCGCAAGTAGTTAATAAACTTGGTTTTTCTAAACTGAAAATATAAAAATATAAAAAATAGACTTAGCAGTTTTTTGAAAATAAATTTATAAGCAAAAGAATTATTATTATTTACTTTGCTATATTAAATATGTTTGGCTAAGAAATTAAAACAATAACAAATTAAAACAATAACATTTTTTGCAACTTGATTTATTTTTGGAACATATTTCAAAAATGAATTAAGAGCATTTTTACTAATTATTTCTGAACCGGAATTACGAGTTCGCCAGTGATTCTGGTTATGAACTCAGTGATTCTGAGTGAACCGGAACTGCTGAGTTCGCCAGTATTATATATATATAAACGAACATAACACTTAGTTTATTATTTTTAACAGTTTCTTGTATCACTTTTTGCCGTTTTCCCTTTTCCTTTTGTGCGCCTCTTCTAAAGTTTCTTGATCATAAACGTAAACAATTCAATAGTAAAATATAAATAACTTTTTTAAATAATTATATGTACTTAACGTTTTTACTTGAACTATTAGCATTTAAACAAAAACTAATTAATAAAAAATAATAATTTGTTCCTTAAATTGGTGTTAACTTTAAAAAAATAAAAAATAACAATTTGTTCCTTAAATTGATGTTAACTTTAAAAAAATTGTTCAATTTCAGAATTGTAAAATACTTTTCCATAAAATACTTTTGAGTTCATAATGAATCAAATACTTATTGTCGTATGATGAATTGTTGTCATTGATGAATGCAGCCCTCTCATTCTTTATGTCTTCTTGGATTATCATTAACTTCTGATTTTTCATGGAAACCATATATACAATTCATTGCAAAGTTAACAACTGTTAAGGTTGCTTTTCTTTATTGTGCTCACCATTTTCTTACTCCCAATTCTATTCTCTATCCCTTACAAGTATCTTATTCATCTCTGTCCGTTATACTGTTGCCATAATTGGGCTGGTTCTTCTAATGACGCTCTTTCTCTTTTAGACCAAAAGTCCAAAAATGAAACGTAGTTGGACCTTCTTTATCTGGGTAGTTTGAGCAACTCTTCCACAGAAGGAACATCTCTTTCTATTATTTACAAAGACTATCGTGGTCTCTGCACAAACTTCTCTAGTTCTATCAACTTAAAGTCATACGCGCTTAACTCGTTATTCAGCAAAGACAAATCCTTTTACTGTAGCTGTCCCTTCATGCTATAAAGACTTCATTAAGTTTGTTTCGTTGAGCAATTAATAAACTTTACTTGTCAATTTTTTTCTTAAATTTAATCTTACTAGTTAAATTTGGTTAAAACTGGTTGAAACTGGTTAAAACTGGTTGAAACAGGTTAAATTTAAAGTTACTGGTTAAAAAAATGGGATCAAACTTGTTACTGGTTAAAAAAATATATGGGATCAAACTTTAATTTAATGGTTCTAGATAGCGAAGATAATGTTTTCTATTCTAATTTAATTCGAGTGGAACAAAAGTAATCGTTACTTTGTGAAATGAATTTTTATTTATTTACATTAGGAGAAATTTTATTTTTGAACTTTTCTATAGCTTAAAAATGTAAATTTTTTTAATTCACTGACACAGAGTTGTTTTTTATATCATTCAACTGTTAGATGACATTTTTATGTCCTGCAACTGTTAGATGACATTTTTATGTCCTGCAACTATTAGTGACATTTTTATGTCCTGTAACTATTTGATGATATTTTTATGTCCTGCAACTGTTAGATAAAATTGTTATGCCCTGCAACTGTTAGATAACATTTTTATGTCCTGCAACTGCTAGATGATATTCTTTTAGGATTAAGTTTTAGATAATTGTACATGAATCACTTTACAATTAACTTAATCTTATTCTCTTGCTTTTATCATATAAACTTTTTTTCATCGTGTAATTATCATACTTAATTTTATTAGATATTTTATTTATTCATCATGGCTGAAAGAAATATTGAAAAAAAGAAAACTTGAAGATGAAAACAGAAAGTTTCAGAGTAAATAGGAAAGTTTGTTCTTTTTTATTTTATTGAAGTTGACAAACTTTTAAAGAACAGTTTGAAGTCTCAACAAAATTTTATAAACAAACAAATCAAACAATATTATCAGTACTAGCTTTCGAGTATCTCATAATATTGCTAAAAATATTGAAGGAATCTGTCAAAAAAAGCTGAATCTTTTTATTCAAATTCGTTGAAAGAAGAATAGAAAAGATTTCGAATGATATTTGTTCATTGCTAAACACAATTACAAAAAGTTTCATATATTTCTTACTGGATTTGAATGGAACGTCAGATATTAATGATACTGCTCAACTTGCTATTTTGATTAGAGGTGTCGACAGTCAAGTGAATATTTCTGAAGAATTACTCGAACTTGTAAGTTTGAAAGGTACTACAATCTGAAGGGATATTAAAGATGCTGTCATAAATTGCGTGTTGTCAAATAAATTTGAAAAATCTTGTTGGTATCGCAATATACCAAATTTATATTAATTGCACATCGAGACAATTACAAACAATTCATTGAAGCATCGCCAATTTCAAGAATATTTTAGTGAACTCGAATCTGAATACGGCGATCTTATTTATTATACTAAAATTCGGTGGTTAAGTTGCAGAAATTGCTCATTTCGATTTTGAAAGTTAAGAGAGAAAATTAATACTTTCATGAACATAATGGTCATAATATAAGTGAACTTTTGGATGATTAATGACTTCTAGATTTATGTTTCTTATTCTTCTAGATTAATGTCTTTCAATAGATGTTTTTTTTATTTTTTTTACAGGTGCTCCAAGATGTTTTTATGGTCTTATCACAGAGCTTCGCGAATGAGAGGAAGTTCACGCTTCCTTCCTAACCAATGTTATAAAGCTTGCCCAGAATTGGCTTTGAACCTCGGATCTCTAGCTTCTGAGGCAAGAGCGCTAACCCCTGCGTTATGGCTGCTCATAACTAAATCAGAAGTTACAGTGTGAAAAAAAAGTTGATTTCTGATTGTTATCAAGACATCCTTTGTAACCAAGGTTCATCTTTATAAAAATCAATTACTGTCAAATAATTTCCCATTATTATTCTAATATTCTATTAAAATCGCAAAACTACTTAAAGAATTTAATATTAGATTCTCATACAGGAAAAAGTCTGAGGAAAACTTTCAAATATTCTTTTAATGTAGAGGTGGAATCAGCACTGCCAAGTTTACAAATGGCTCTAATAGAATTGCAATCAAACTTTGAGCTAAAATGCCTCTACGAAGGAAATAATATTGAGTGTTATCAAAAATATATTGCCGAAGATAAATTTCTAAATTTAAGACGATTTGCAATGTGCATTATATCAGCATTTAGAACTACTTTTTGCTACGAATTATTTTTTCAAATTTTTATTGCTACAAATCATTTTTTCTGGTTGCTTGATAAAAATATGAACAATCAACTAGGATGCGCGTCAACTACATTATCCGTAGATATTTCCAAAATCTCCAGTAAAATATAAAAACAAATCTCACATTAGTTTTAAAATAATACATGTGGTAGTGCTTGTGAATAAACCACTATATATATTTATAGTATAAATATAATATTATTTTAACCCTTATGATTGGGGAGTTAAGTAAGATGTTGGATCAATACAGTATAGTTATCGCATATCAGTATATCAATACAATATAGTTATTGTTTATTGTCGTTGTAGTTATGATATATGTATAATACAACATGTACAATTGCAGCTGGCCCTGTAAAAACGCATATTTTAAATAATGCACCATGATAAAAATATTTTAATTAACTTGTTGTTTTATTTTTATATATGCGCCCATCTCAGTTCAGTAAATTGTTTTTTGGCCCAAAAACCGATTTGGGTTCGGCTTCCCTGATCATGGCCTACTTTATTTATACGGCCGGATAGCGACTTTACAAACCCACTATAAGCACAGAATAGCCATTAAAATTGGCCAATCTGATTCGCTTATTTTGAAAGAGAGGCAAATCCGCAAAATTGGAATATAAGAAAAATATTCGGCGTTAAACATAAAAATAAAGAAAAATAGTTCGATTTTGTTTACTTTTTGCTCATTAGTTTGTGTTTATTTATTTAAAATTGTTAATAGATTTTGTATTTATTTATTAAAAATTGGACTCCGTTGCTTACTATTTTATTTAATGTGCAATATAATTGTCTTGTATAGTTTCATTATTATTTGTATGATTAAATCAGTATCGTATTGAATCATTAAACGAGTTTATCTTAAATTACAGTGAAAGAATAATGAAAGACCATGTCAAATTTTTCCAAAAAGGTTAGCGCAATAATACTCAAGTATATTCGAATAAAATATAAATTATATAACAATACTTTTAAGACTGCTAAAAAAATACGTTAATGACTTTGAGCATTAGCAACATTTTGTTCAACAGCTAGACTGATATTTCTTTGTCGCTTAACTTTTTTCCGTTTCAAAACTTCAACTTTGGTTGGTCTTCCCATCGGCACTGGTCTACTACCACGTGTCAGACCTTCTCTTCGTCTCGCAGCAGCAGTCGGTTGCGTTTTAATTTGTCCGAATCTTCTTTTTGAGCATAATGCTGTTTTTAATGAAAACAGAGTTGCTAAAGCGCTTTCGGTGGTATTGACACTTTTCAGTCTAAGCTTTAAACTATTAATAATTTTTTTAGAACTGGGATCGATTTTAGCTAAATCTAATAACTTTTTAAATTCAAATATAAATTCTTCTCAATCTGTATTTAAAGATTCCGATTGGTTTTTTTTTCAGTACACGTCAATGACAAAATATCTTCGTTATTTGCATCGCCAGAGATCAAACAGCTTTCTTGAGTTTCAACTGCGAAAATAACAATTTACTGTTAATTTAATAAATGTAAACCATGTTATAAAATTATTATATTATAAAATCATGTATGTATTCAATATAAATTACAAAAAATTAAAACTAATTGCAGATATCAAGGTAGTTGGACCAAAAAAGACCCGTATCGAATAATAATAATTTTACATACATACATACATACATACATACTTATGTGCGTGCGTGCGTGTGTGTGTGTGTGTGTATGTGTGTTCTAATAAACAAATATATTTTCAGATGAAACAAAGTGGGCTTATATCGATGCAACTACTTTATTTGCCTTTACAATTCAATTACAAACCTAAAATATTAGAAGATATTTCAATTTCGCTTTGATCTATATCTCTCAAACTTAAAAAAAATTCTGGTTCAGGGCACTTCGATCCAAGTGCAAGCTTCCCAAGTTCGTATCTGTCTTTCGATGTAATAGGTGGAGCGCACGGAAAATTAATTTTAAAAAATTTATGTATTGCAGCCATGTGTTTACAGAATCCACCTTGCCTACCACTAGGACATGAACAGTAGCCAACGTCACTATTGACTGTATATTCGACATTTGAATTTTTAAAACTAGGTACAATGTAAGTGTTTCTCTCTAACAATTTAATAGAACTAATGTTTATTTTTTCAGATTTTTGACATAATTTGTTGTAGAATATTTCATAGGCAGAGCAACGATTATATGCAGTATTCAGAAGACGGTTGCTATAATATCTGTCCCAAACATTGACAGTATAGTCTACAAGTGCTGCAACATTGAATGCTTTTGTTCTACATAAAACAATATCTTTAAGGATTCTTATTGTTGCTTCACTAAAATTATTTGTATTGTGGTTTCGAATAATTAAGTTTTTTCTATATAACATGACAAATTCAAACTTTCTCTTGTTATAGTATTTTTTAACCCTAATATAAAACTTTAAGTGCGTTAATTTTATGCTTTTTAATTGGTGCAACGATAAGTCAAGTTTTTCGCTTGTATCAGCATACATAATCTAGAAAACAAACTTGTAGATAATTGCACTTGAAATTCCATTTAAATAACTTTCATTTCAAAAAATAGTAAACGAATTAAGAATTACTATATAATTAAGTGGTTATAAATCTATTTTTATATGTAACTTAAATACATTTTTAAACAAATGGTAAAGTTTTTTACGATCAGTTTTTGCAGCTTTTTTAAGCAACCAACGCCCTTGTGCTTGTAATACATGAAAATAACATAATAACATTGTTGCTGTTGGCCATACAGAACTTAGTGCATTTTTTTCTTCACTTGAGTCATCCAGCATAAAAACTTGGGGCTCCTACAAAAAAATAGTTAAAATACAATGTAAAACATTTAACTAATAGAAATTCCGATTTAAATTAGGTATTGTGGCACTTGTAAACATTTAAGTTTAAAACCTTATCTAGATCTTTATGTTTCAAGTTCAGCCCTTATGTAGATCAGTGTTTTGATAAAGTTCAGAAAACCTTTAGCCAAAATATATTTTCAAGAGTTATTGAAATGCTGCTTAGTTAATTAGGAATTGCTGTTTAGTTAATTAGGAAAGAGCTTGCATTTGATTTTGAAGTGATCATCCATGTTATATTTTAAAAACTCGGAAAACAGTGCATAAAACATCCGGTATATATTTTTTTAATTTTCCTTTTAACTTAGCTTTTAATGTGTGACAACTTTAAATCCAGACAAATTTAACAAAAGAATGTCTTGTCTAACGGAGTTATCAATCTTATTAATTTAGAAAGCATAATAACAGGTGAGGTTATCAAATTATAAAACATTGTTAGACATATCAAAGTTTGTCAGGATTTTTTGTTGTCTCATCTTAGCTGGTGGGTTTCTTCATTTTTCTGAAATTTTTCTTAATTTTTGTATGGATTTTCTTAATTTTTGTATGAGTGATGACTGCAAAAGTTAATAAACAAATATATTACAAAAATTTATACTTTAAATTAAAACATTTTGGAAATCCAAAAAAACTAAAACTTGAGAAAAATATCCGGAATTTTAGAAATAACCCGAAAAAGGTAATTCCTGACTTTGTAATACAAAGATATCAAATTGTATATATAAAAGAAGGTATATATGTTAACCATTTCATGTATAGAGATAAAAGAAAAAAAGATAAAGTTAGGCTATTATATTATATTATTATATTATACATATGCATACATAGAATATACTTATAAAACTTTAAACTACCTCAGATCCTCCAAAACATCTTGGGCATTCTAATTTAAGAAGTTTGAATGCTTGCTCATAATTCTCTTCAGTTTTATTAGCATGAAATAGAATAGCAATAGGGATACATCCTGCGGAACTTGATGTAGACACAATTGTAACATTTGTTTGTGAGATATCACAAGATGAGGTAGTATCTACAAACACAATTTCGGAAGAAGATTTTCTTAGTTGATTCCTTTGCATCACTTCAGTGACCACTAGTACAGACCATTTCAGATCTTCTTCAATAACTGTCACCAACGCTCCTAAATTAAAAAACACTGAAAACTGCCAAAAAATCTGGCAAGATATAAACCACCAATTGATAAAACGATATGGGCCAGTTCATTATACTTTAGCCAGTGGCCTGTGGGACACCAAAAAATAAAAAAAATTATAAAAAATAGCGAATAAGTGAAGTTAGCTGAAGAACTTTTCTATTAACCAACAAGGTCTTACAGGTTACTTTACTGATTAGCTATTACTATCAGCAATACATGGGAAAATTACAGAAAGCTTGTTACATAAAAGAACTCAAATGTGTCTATAAACATATTATTCATTTTCCAAAATGCCCAACTAAAATGGCAGCATTTTTTAATAACCCTATTTTCTTACCTATATGACTTAAATGTATTATTTAACTCATATAGGTAAGAAAAATTTAAAATGTAAAATTTATTGGAAAACAATGCCCCTCTAACCTGCCTGCTAACATTGAAGGGGTGAACTTGATTTTGTCATTTAATAATAATAAAAAAGATATGGTTGGTTGCCCCCTCCCTGATCTAGTCTTTATGGCTTTTTGCAAGTGTATCTATTTAGGTGCTTCTAGCACAAAATAACTGTTTTTTAATACTTTTCTGTTAAAAGAACTTTGTTATTGCTTTTTTTTCAGTTTTATTCATTATATTACCTTTTATTTGTTGGATCTACTCTATACACAAAATTATAGCTTAAATAAATGTCCCACAAAATTTTCTTTAAATTGGTTGAAATATAACGAGCTTACACATATCTGACTTTGTTATATATTTTTTTGTAATATATAAAAATACATGTCAACTCAAAGTAGAATTTGGCAGCAAACCTTCTCAATATAAACTAGGTTTTTTATTTATCATTTATCAATCTTATTTTCAAAATAAATCATTTAAATAAATTATTTTAAGATAAACTGATTATTGTTGTTCATCTCATTTTTACCTGATTCTAAGTATACATTTCTTTTATTCTTTAACATCTCTAAAGGATTTTTAAGAGCAAAATGTTTTTCTTGCCATAAATTGTATAAATAATAAATTGTACGTGATGAAGGATTAAGTGAGGCATCTGCCAAAAGAAAGGAGCCATTTTCATGATAAATAAAGTTATCTGTGTGTATACGTTTTGCTTGAGCTGGACTTAATCCACTGTTAAAATAGTTATAAAAAAGTTTTTTTGTAACTGATGACACTGGTAAGTATTTCATCGAATCTGCACATTCAATGTTATGGTTATGGTTTTTATGAACTTCTATAACTCCACTAAGGGGAGGTTCTTCTTTTAGATATTGATCATTTTTCTTAGTATTTGCATTTACTTTTTTGATTTTGATATCAATTTCAGCTACACAGTATGTGTTTTTCCTTGATTTAATTTCTTTATTTAGTTTTGAATGTTGACATTGATATTTTCTATGTGCCACAAGCCTAAATAAAATACATTTGCAAGATATATATACACTTACTGTTAGTTAATGCTTATATTATTATTTATTAGCCCTCAAGACCTATAAGACCTGACTCACTATTGATTGTGATATGAAAAAAATATATAATAGCTTAGTAAAGAAGCTAAAGGGGTTCCTAACAGACAAAGAAAAGAAAATACAAAAACTAGCAATAACATAATAATACAAATAACAACAATACATACCCATTTCGTAATGTTACCAAAAAAAAATATTTATTCTAACCCTAACTGTGTTGCTAACCCTAAATTTTTCTTAAACTGTTAGCTATTGATCGATAAATTAAATTTCAAATCATAAAAATTTACTAAATTAAGATAATATCTTAACATTAAACAAACTAAACTTGTGATATAGGCTAGAACACCAAGGCAAATCTAAAGAAATGAAACAACAATAATAAAAAGTAGACATGCTTATAAGATAATACCACCATTTTGGGATGATGATGGTAAAACTTAAGGAATGAAATGATAAAAATGGAGAAAAATATAAAAATTTAAATTTGCAAACAAAATAAAAACTAATACAAAATACATAATCCTTATATAACTAAAAATATTTAAAAAATTTTATTTAAATAGCTTCAATTTATTTTAATCAAACCTTGTTTGTATTAAAGAAAGCCAAATAACCCCAAATCACTTTATTCAAATAAACCCCAAATCACTTTATTTAAAACCACAAATATTTAAAAGTTTATTTTCTGAGGTAACAAGGAAACATTGCTTTAACAAACTTATTATATGCCAATGTTATATTTCAAGACATTGTGTTAAATAGTCATGACAAATTTAAAACATCAGCAAATGACTTATAATGGTCGGTACTTATAATAGTATAACAAAATAGAAAAAATGATACCAGAAAACAAAATATCTCTTACTTCAATCAAGTAGAAATCCAATTATTTCCTGTTGACTAATGATTAATAAAGTAAATTTTAAATCATAAAAATTTACATAATTAAACCATGTTCCAACAGTAGAAAAACCAAAATTACAGAACTAAAAAAATGAAATAAAAAAATAACAATAATGGGTATAATACATCATTGTTTGTGTGAAATTTTTAAAATGATGTTCCTTGAAATGAATGTTATTTAAATTTAAAAAACAATATATTAAACTACCTTGAACACAGGACATAAAATTTTTGTAAGAAGCACATTTTTTTTTGAGATAAACATTATCAACTGTTTGATCTTGAATTTAATTTATGGTCATTAAGTGTGCTAAACTGACAACATTTTAGCGTAAAGTTTGCTCAACTGTAACCAAGGAATAAATACCCTTATACAACTTGTAGTATGTGCGTGTTTAAATTATATATATATATATATATATATATATATATATATATATATATATATATATATATATATATATATATATATATATATATATATATATATATATATATATATATATATATATATATATATATATATATATTAAATATATATAAACTATGTTAGTGTATTCTACAAGAGAGCTCAACGTTGTTAAAGAACAGAGTAAAAATAAATAAGTAAAAACACTTATCTAATTTTTTTTTTCCTTATATATATATAAATATATATATTTAATATATATATCTATGATATTTATATAAAATATATGTATCATATTTCGTGGTAAAAGATAAAATTGGTTAAAAATCCAACCTTGTAGGTTCATTCAGCTTGTATGACTTTAGCCATCTAGTGTGCGTTTTATGTCCATATTCTTCTACCCATTGGTTCGCTTCATCTTCTGATTTAATTGATGCTCGCAATTGAATAACATTTTTATCTTCAAAAATTAACTTTGAATTAAATAAAATAGGGAATGTTGAATTCATTTTTTTTAGAATCACTACCGCTGTTGTTATGGTTCGGTGTCTTTAAAGCGAAACTTTTAAGAGCGAAAGTTTTGAAAGCGAAAGGTCGGGAAAGCGAAAAAGTTAAAAGCGAATGCGATTGGTTAAGCGAGAAAATTTTTTTAACAACATTAGTAACATCTTAAATTAAGATGTTATTAAGATTTAATAACATCTTAATAACATTGGTAACATCTTAATAACATTTTAATAACATTGGTAACATTATTATTTTTATATAAATACATATGAGTTAACCTATTATTCTTTTTCATTGAATTGTGTCATCTTAAAGTTGTTACAATTGAAGTGAGTCAATTTCAGAAATAAGTTCATGAAGTTTATTATAAACTTTAAAAGTTTATACTTTATAGAAAATTGAGTAGGGCACAATTGAATTGTTTAGAATTTTGCTCCAAAACAAAGCGTAAAAGTTAAGTGTGTATACCAATTATAATAGGGAAAATTAGTTGTTTTCGCATAAAAAATTTAGTTAGTTAGAAGTAGTTCTCTTTTATGTGCCAGCATATCGGCCAGTTATATTTACTGTTTAATTATCTGCAAGGCAAAGTGAGTATTTTAATATTTTTGTTTAAAATAATTTTAATAATTGTTATCAGACATTCACTTTAGAAATATGAATTATAGCTTAAACTTTAGGCTTTTAAGTTAAAGCCTGTGTCAAAAATGACTTTTATATGTTGTATTTAAATATGACTTAATGACATTATTTATATGACAAAAATGGCTTTTATATGGTGCATTTGCCTGAAATTTGACTTATAGTCTATTAGTCAAAAATCACAATATAAGTCTCTATAATAAAGATACTTATATTGTGACCATTATGTATGGCATTATCTTGATCGATGTTGTTACACTTGGAATATGTTGTTTCAACTTTTAGGTATTTTATTTTGCTACAATTTTTTTATGATGTTGTTTTGATTTGATTTGTTCTGTAAACAGAAAGCTGTACAGTGTCCTTTTTATCCCACCTGTTGAATTTCAGCAACATTTTTGTCAAAATTATTTATAGTTCATTTTACAAGAGGTAGTAGAAGATTATTTTATTTTTAACTACTTTCTTATTTTGTAATGTGGTTTTTTTTTTAGAACAACTTAAGAGTATGATTTAATAACTGTGTGAATCTTCTTGGTTGATGCCTAAAAGATTTTTTGAAGGCAGTTCTACATTTTATTGAAATATAAAAACATGCCAATATCCCAAAAATTATTCTGCGTAATGTTTTTTGGATTGTTTGCATGTAAAATTAAAAATTCAGTTATTAATTGTGAAAAAGACTAATTGGCTAATTAGTTTAAAAAGTTTCAATGGTGATGATTGATTGGTGAGAAACTTATTTACTTTTTATGTTTTAATTACATGATTTGTAAATATTTATGATATGAATTGTTTGTGATCTCAGTATAGTAAAGTTTTTATTTCTACATTTGTATTACTTAGCACAAATATTTTATAATTTTGTCTACAGATTGGTTTGTAATAGCCTTAATTATCTTATTTACTTAATGTTCAGTATACTGTTATGTTGTTTTTAAACTAGATAAAATAGTTTTTAAAATGAAAATGACTGCTGGCTCTATATGAATCTAATTTAAGTTTACTTCTTTGGGAATTTTATATCATATATTAAGTTTATTGTATTGGTAACTTTTTTATTACTAAAAAAAGAATTTTGTTACACAAAAAAAAGTGTAAAATGCATAACATCCCAGCTATTACAATATATTGGAGGGCATTTATTGGAAATGTTTTTTTTTTAACATTTTCATTTCCAACAAGACTGCAAGCACCTACTATTAGAGAAAAGATGAAATTTATAGAGTAAAATAACAACTAACAGAATTAAGTTTCACGAAAAAACAGATTAGAACTTTTTAGGCACTTAGGAACAGTCATATTAAAGGATTAGCCTTTATTGAATGATGAGTAACACAATAGTGAGTTTTAGTAGATGATACAAGAGACGCTAGCTCTTTAGAGCAGTGTCCATAATTGTATTTATAAAAAATAAAATGAGAAGCAACATTATGATAATATTCTAATGGTTGGAGGTTGGCTGCAAAGGTCAAGGTTCAGAAACAATTTTTTTTTGTACCTTGTCTAAAAGAGAAAGGCCATTACTGGAAGATCTGATTAAGATATGGCAAAAGTGTTCCATGCAGGGATGGATGTAAGATTTATAGAGATAAGACATAAATATTTATAGAGATGTTTGAATTGATGAATACTTTTAAATTTAATATTGTATCATAAGTTGACAATATATTCAAAGACTGAAATTTAGCACAATTGTATTAAGCAAAGGTCTTTGCACACCACCAATTAAGCATTTATATTTCAAGAGTTGTTTATTGATAAAAGCTTGCCTTAATTTACATAAATAGTAATATTTGTAGATATTATTATCTACTAGATAATAATTTATATTAAAAACTAACCTTTATATGTCTCGTTTTCAAATATGTTGTGTTGATATATTTGCCCTGGCTTTTAGTTTATGATTCAAAATTTAAACATCAATTCTTGAGGTTTAACTATCTCATCATTTCTAAAAGTATTAAGGGTAGACAGCCTAACTCACCATACCTAATCAAAACAAAAGAACATTATAAATTCGTATCTTTCTAATTTTATGAATAATTTTTATTTAAACATTAAAACAATTTTTTGGTTGAAATCTAATACATAAATTTCAAAAAACAAATTAAAATTAAATAATATCAATAAGAAATTATGCAAATCTTTTTTTTTTTTATCTATAACTTATTAACTTGTAGTGCAATTATAATTTTTATGCAAGATTTTATACCTTTTTGTCGCAATGTAACTTAAGTCTCAGCTAGAATACCAAATGAATAAATAATTCTAAACTATATGCATTTAATTCTATACTAAAACTATATACATAAACTCTAAACTATATACAATAAGTTTTTTTTATTTATTTAATCTAATAAACTCTAACTGTAACTATAACTCTCAGCTAGAATATCAAATAAATAATTCTAAACTATAACTAACTTATAATTATAAAAATATTAACAGTTTAAAAAAAATAAAACCCAAACGCTAAATAATTCTAAACTATAACTAACTTATAATTATAAAAATATTAACAGTTTAAAAAAAATAAAATCCAAACGCTAAATAATCTATAATATAATATTGAGATAATAACAAAATCAGAAAAAATTTCAATAAATTTCAGTTGTTGTTGCTGTTGAACTTGGTAGAAACATGATTCCATAGCGTAAAGTTAGGTGACGTAATGTTTATTTTTTGGCGAATAATTAAGTATAAAGCATTGTTAAATTATTTGTTTTATGCAATGGTTTTATGTGAATATTTAATTATTGGTCATGCGTGGTAAAATGTTTTTATCAAATAGTAACTCAATACAAAATTTGTGAAACATGATTTTATACTATAATACAAATGTTTTTATACAATTTATATTTAAATCATGATATTAGAATATTATTTGTGATCATAATATCAAAGTGAACCGTGATTGTTAAGATATTTTGATAATAAAGAAAACTAAATCATAACATGTTTACTGTAGTTGGTTTGTTTATTAGTCATTTTGTGAGGATGGCTAAGGAATTATTTCTAAAGTTATAACAAGCACATTCTTGAGTTTCATCTTTATTTTTTAATCTTAGTGCTTCTACTATGATAAGAAACTTTATGCAAACAACAACAGCAAATAAAAGCAATAGGAGCAACATTTATTTTATAATAACAGTAATAATAATGAAAATAATAACAATAAAAATACCTATAATATCATAAATAATAAAATCATAATATCATTATATTATCCAGGTTTATACAATTGTAATTGCTATCTCTAAAGCTATGGTGATGGTTTATATTTTAGCCAATTTAAAAATCAACCTGTTATACACAGGGTATATATAAATGAAAATACCATATTGAATTCTGGTGTATTTTTGAAGAACATTTTTTTTCAAAAAGTATTAAAGTTTTTGTGTGCAAAAAAAGAAAACTAAAGATTTTCGAATTAAAGAAAAATATACATCATGTTTTCGATAATATTTTTGTGTATCTTTTTACGTAACATGGTTTGATCAATTTTTACAATGTTCCCCATCTAAATTGGCAGGAAAAAAGTTTATAAAAAGTATACAGTTTTATAGCAAGTGAACAAATCTACTTTTAACGAAGCTTAAAATAAAAAGTTTGCAAAATAGTGTGTGTATAGATTTATGTTCTGTTGTTGTTCATTTACTATAAACAAGTATATGAATTTGGAAATGGAAATTTAGTTCAACGCCAATAGCAATTGTGATAAAGTAATTTAAGATCATTTAAAGTTCAGTCAAGCAAGCACCTGAAAATGGTCAACTTTTTGTTTAATATAGATTGCTGTTCCAAATACAAATTGCAGATATGATCCAATACTTTATGTCAAGCATGGTTCAAATTTTAAACCAAACAAACTTACTATCTGTTGATCTTCTACTTTGTTTTGAAGTTATGAGTTCAGATAGATATGTAAAACATTTAGTTTACAATTTTTTTTATGGCTTTTAAGCTCAAACTAGTAACCAATGATGTGATTTAAAAGTTTTATTTTTACAAATTTTAATTTGAAAGAAGAACAACATACATTATTAAATAAGCTATAATTTGAATGCATATATTTAAATATAGGGAAGATCAATCACCCCTTTATATGTATATATAAATATATATATATATATATATATATATATATATATATATATATATATATATATATATATATTTATATGTAAGTTTTGATTTATATGTAAGTCTGTACAAAGATATAATTTTATATAGCTTTATATTTTATTAAAAGTATGTTTTAATTATATTTTAATATGTTTTAATTTATGTTTTTATTTTTTTTATTATTTTTTTTTTTTTGATACAAAAGATGTTTTGTTCAAAGCAGATTAGCCAACCATATAAAGGACAGATAAAACTGACCCTCATCTCAGGCGTAA